TATTCCTGCATGTGAGAACTTCAAACATGAAAACTAATGTTTGTAGCCACACATATGAAAAGAATAATTTAAAAATCATGGGATCTAGTGAGAGGAACAGTTAATGATTACTTATTTGATCAATCTTGCATGTCTCTATTTGTTTTCCTGAGAAACCACTTTGAAGATATTATTACGTAGTACAACAACCATTGTTAATTTCCTACCACTTTGTAACTCTGTGTTGTTTGTATTGTTCTTATGCTATTTTGTAAATAGATGTCTGTTTGTTAATATGTTTTCCTTAATTTCATTTTAAAATAAATGAAAAAAAAAATAAAAAAAGACTAAAATCATGTAATCACTTAAATAGATGCAAAAGTTTATGACAAAAGAAAACATTCCATAAGGATGAAATCCTCTACAACTAGGTATGGAATGAATGATATCGATGTACTTCCTATATGGAAAAGACTTGTGCTAACTTTTCTCCAAGGCCAGGAAACAAGATTCACATTCATTGCTTCAAGTCAGCATAGAAATCCTGGACACAACAGAGAGACAAGAATAAAATATATAAGACATCCAAACAGGCAGAGTAAAGATAACTCTATTTGCAGATGAATAATCTTTGCATAAAGAAAAGCTAATGATTTCACTACAGAGAGTTAGGATTAATAAAACAATTTAAAAGTTACAATTTATAGATAAGCATTTAATATTAAATATTATTTATAATATAAATTAATATTAAGAAAAAATCAGTTAATACATTTCTATTTAAAATAACATTGGAATAAATACAATATTTAGGAATAAATTTAATTTACAAGACAAAAGACCTGTGGTCAGAAAAGTATACAGTATTGAGCAAAGAAATTGAAGCGGATACACAGGGGGAATGGTGGTCCTTGTCTATAGATGAAAAGCTAAACATTGTTAGAATGTTCATACTACAGACAGTGACACAAAGACTGTAAATCCAGTAAAATCTATTTCAGTATTTTAATTTCATTTTTATAAACATACAAGAAATAATTCTAAAATAGAACATCATATTTCAACCCAAGTAGTGAAGCCATCATGAGCAAGACAAAAACTAAAGCCACCAAAGTACCTGACATCAAATCATATTAAAAGCATATTACATTAAAAAACAACATGTTACTAACATAAAAGTAGACTCACAATTCAACTTAACATAAACAAAGTAATATATTTCTGTTCACTTTGTCCCAAACTTGCCATGTGCACATCATGGCTTAAGAAGTGTTTCTTCAACAAAATACTGTTGGGAAAAAATTGATATGTACGTGTGGAATAAGGAAATTTTCCCATTATCTCACAGTATATACAATAATATGCTTAAATAAATTAAAGATTTAATGAAAAATATGAGATATAAACTACTAAAAGAAAAAAATTAACAGTGCCCTGGTCATTGATAACCAATCTCCTGCTGAGAGGTATGTTGACAGAATAAAACACAGGCAAAATATACACATTTTTGTTACAAGCGGCACCAGGATGGTCAAATCTCAATAATGGGCTAGGACCATGAGGCATGGTGTCTGGCTTTTATTGGGTGTACAGTTTGATTGCAGTGCATGCTCATGGGCTGCAGAAAGTGATGGAGTTGAACTTTTGATTTGGTCGAGGTTCAAAAGTGGAGCAAGAATGCATTTTTGGAAAACTACACTGGCACAGACAAGGGTTAACTAGTAACCTGATCGTCTGCTAACTACTAAGCTAGAAAAAATTTGCATGAGTCAAAGTCCTCTCCTGACATGTTATCTTGCTTTGAAGCACCAGAACTTCACAGACTGTTTGCTAGACCCAGCTCTGGTGGCTGGCTTAGAAATTATTCTGTCCATAGCCAGCAGGAGGTCTTGCCACAAGTCATGTGGGCTAAGACAGACTCTCAATTTGTTTCTATGAAACTTTATTAATAATAATTATTATTTGTCTGTGGCACGTAGAGTTCGTCCTAAGCAGTTTGCCCTTTTTTCTTTTGAAGTTGAAGCAGTGGCACCAGGGTAAGTGTGGGTTCCAGGGTATCTCAATATCAGTTTCTTGTGATTCCTCTATGACATACTAAGGATATAAGCAGAAGGAACACAATAATACATCCTACAATGTGTAAGTTAAACCAAAAATGTACCTTGACATATGTAAATGTGTTGAATTGATCGAGTGCATGTGCAAATTTATCCCAGTCTTGAATTTGATCGTTGAAATCATGAGTTTGTTGTGACATGGAAAGCATTTCTGTCAGACTGTGTCAAAATCCAAAGTAATGTTCTGATGGATGGTGCATTTAATAAGTTTCTTGATGTGCTCCCATGGGTGTGAAGACTGTTACATCGCAAAGGAGTGTCAGAGAAGCATTGATATTGTAGTGATACTTGAGCTTTTGCTGAAATTGTAGCCCCACTTGGTCCCCTAGCCACAGGACAGCAGTTTCTACAACACCTATCTGTGTCTGAAACTTAGTATCTGCATCTCTTTTGTAATTCCTGATGCTATCAGCCATCTATGTACAGTTATTAATGAAATGTGCAGTCTGCATAGAATGTGTAAGAGTCATTGAGGAGACTGCTACACTAGAGATGAGGAAAACTAGGGAGAAAAACCTGAAATTATAATTTCTACCATGCACTTGGTTCTCTGTACCAAATGATCCAGAAAGTTATGGAGTAAAAAGGAGGTGGGTGAGTACGGCCAAGGATCTGTAAGATTAACAGGCAGCAAACAGCAGACATTCATCCCGTACTTATTACTACTTTGGAACAGAACACTCGAGGTTTAGTGCAATGAATTAACACGCAATTAAAACAGTGAGTGCATTGTTTTGCCAAGATTTTGCTAAAAAAACACGTCCAGGTTATAAATATATTTCTATATTAACCATCTTGTAAAGAGTATAAAATACAGTATATTCTCTGGTGTCTGAAGATAAGTGATTATCTGCTCTGAACTTATCATCCTAAAATGTGAATCCCAAATTCCACAAGGCATGCTGTATAGATCTGGTTTGCCCTGGGAGAAAATTTGGAGATTGGAGCACTAAGCCCCTATCCACTCTAATTAATAAAATCAGCAGGCTCAGAAGTGAAGGAGTGGTTTGCTTGGCTTCTCATTTGAAGGTGTCACCAGTATTCCTGTTTATTTCTTCCCAGATACTTTTCTTGAGATGCCCAATCTATAAAGTCAGAACCACAAATAGACTTGTTCCATCCTAGCATGTCTTGGCATATATCCCAGGGAGATAAAGCTCTTTCCTGAAAATAGGAGAAGTGAGCCTTAACCATGCAAAGGGATAAATTGGGTTGATCAGTATGTGTAGACAGCCCAGGCATAGGGATTGACCATAAGATTATCATAACTCAGTTAATGTCTCTCAATCTCATTAATTATTGAGTCCTAACTGTAAAGTGAGTATTTTCATGGGTTTTCATGAGTTACCCATGAAGGCAGATAGATAAAATGTGAGGAATAATTCACAATGACCTCCTCATCTAATTCTATTGGCATGTAAGACCTGAAATATATCTAGTCTGGGATGTATATCATCATTAGCATGATAAATCTCATAGGTTTGATGACCTATCCATGTAACAGGTTGCAAAAGAGGTGGATTTGTAACATAGGTTTATGATTTATTGGTCATAGAAGGCCTAATACATCCAGAAATAGGCAACAAAGCCATCAAGGCAAGTAACCTATTATGGTTGAGCCATTCTTTCCACCTATCCAGACAGAGGGCTCCACCTGACCTCAGCTTTCTGTCTCTTACCTTTACTTCTCCATCCTCTTGTAGTCCTTCCTCTCTGGAACTTTGGAAGCTGAGCTGGCCACAGCAGTGTGCAGCAGCATGTTTGCTTGTTTGTTCATTTGTTTAGTTTTTATTTATTTATTTATTTATTTATTTATTTATTTATTTATTTATTTATTTATGCTTTTTGAGATAGGGTCTCACTATGCTGTTCAGGCTGACCTTGAGCTCACTTTGTAGCCCAGCTGGTCTCGAACTCACAACAATCCTACTGACTTAGCCTCCTGAGTGCTGGGATTACAGGCATATTCTACCATGCCCGACTTGTGAGTAGCATGTTTAATATGTCACAATTCAGAGAAATTTATTTACATAGATGGGACCATTATCTGGTGTTACAGTTTTGGGGAGCCCCTAGCACTAAAAGCTGATGATACTGTACATTGTGAAACTTTTTCATGTGTTTCAAATAGTGTGTATCTTTTGAGACTGTAGGGGACAATGAATCTTAGCATATTATTTTAGATAAACTAGTTTTAGTAAAAGCCTAAGAGGTGCCTTAAGAAGCCTTCTAGTACAATGTAAGAGCTAATTCCCTAGACCAATTCTGCCTAGGATTGTCTCCCCTAGATAAGGGGTGTGTCGGCCTAGGTAACCCTCTGTGACCCTGCCTGGGCAGTTCCATCTCCTGGCCCCAGGTAAACACTGTAACCCTAAAGGAATGCATAGGTTGTAAAAAAGGAGACAGATGGAGCATAACGGGAGAAACATCTATCATGGTTAGACAAGCGACCTATAAGTGACTTGGGGTCTCACAGGATGAGAGAAAGACCATATGGCCACAGGGGTCAATGAATGTAACATCCCAATCTATTACCATGGAAACCAAAAATGTACATAAGGGAGAATGAAGTTAGTCCCATTTGCCCACTTCCCTGATTGGCAGATGGGAGGAAGGGTGGCTAGCCTCAAAATTAAACTCTGGTTTTGTTTTCAGTAGACTCGGGTCTCATGGAATACAGCCTAACTTATGCCGGGGGACTTCTGCCTTAACAAGACAATGTGTCTCTAGAGACATATACAAAGTGTAACTTTTCAAGTGGCGACATGTGTGTAATATCCACTTATCAGACCTCATTGGCCCTTATACCCATGGGTTATTGCCCTCTTGAGGTGGTGGTCTCAGAATTGTCTCACAGGAAGGACAGAGCCTTATAATTTGTCTGGCTTTGGTTTTAGGTAATTGAAATATTTTCACAAGGGCCTTGGAATGTTGATAACAATATTAATGAGAATGCCTAGCTTGACCAAGAGAAGAGGCATCAGCAATTAGGGAGTCAGCATGTTAATTACTCGCAGGTAAGCATCCTTGTAAGTTACAATGTGATCAAATACGGTCTATGAAAGAGGGAGTGGTCCTAGCTCAAGTGGCGTTTTGTAAAATAATGAACAAATTCCAGAACACAGGATCTAGGGTTGACAGCAAACTGGCAATTTTTAGTCTCTGAGTGGAATAGACCCTACAGTCTAAGTCATTAATAATATTTATGGGTATTGTAGCAAAATTTTTACATACAGCGGAGCAGTAAGTTTTGATCAATGAGATGAAAAACCAGGAACAGTTGAAACATGTTGAAAATTCTTACCCCACTTGGTGGCTCTGAATTTTGAGAACTGGTGAAAATAAACTGTGGCATTAGGTCTTGGATTGAGTGAAGTTATTTTGGGAATTATATAAGCTTTTTGAGGAAGAAGTGAAAGAAGGGATCGTTAGGATAATGATTATCTACTTTGCCTAGAAATTCTGTAACTGTGTCTTGCCAATAAATACTCAATTGTAATAAATTAGAGTACTGAGTCATAGCTAAGGTTACTAAAATTGTGTCAGATCCCTGCCAATTAATTGTCCCATACTGTTTGACTTGAAAGGACAATTTTTGCAATTTGTTCAGTATAAAGTTTTAAAACTTTAATCAGTTGGTTAGGTAAATATAGCCATTCAGTGTGGAAAATGTTTTATCATAATATTTCCCAATCAAACTTGTAGGGGGATAAGCAGTCTCCAGTACAAATAAACACAGTAATTGATTAATGATTAACATGGAATGCTTGATGATTGTATGTCCATTGTTCCACTAGTTGTAACTCCTTTTTTGTCTCCGTATTTGGAACTATAAGAGAGTTAACTTCAAGTTCAACCCATCATGCATTGTAGAAATGATGTAACTAAGTAGTGATTTTAGGATTAAGCCTAATTTTGGCTTAATCCAGTTCATATCACCTAACAATAATAATGATCCAACTATTTTTTGTACTTGGGAATCAAACTCAGTACTTTACACTTGCAGGCAGGCCCTTGTGCCACTGAGCTGTATTCCCGGCTCCAATTTGTATTACCTTAGCAATCATGTATAGTTTTATTTCAAAATACAATAAAAAATAATAACAAATTATGAACAATACTAAATTTGACTTTAACAGATGATAGGCATTCCACAATGGTTGTTATATTGCATATTGTTGTCTTCAAATGAGTTGTTTATATTACCAGATATAAGCATGCAAAATTGGTCCAAAAATTAAAAGAAAAAAATTAAGCAATAACTGTTCCTTTCAACCAACCAGTGGAAATCAGCAGTACAATTATCCCAGCTATCCTTGCATATACATATATGTTTTTCCCTTCTTTATCATTTATCCTATCTCTCATTACAGTTGTCTCTCCCTTTAAGCAGTTTCTTTCCATTTCATTGTTATAGGGAATCTAAGCAATTACAATTGAAGTACCATTAATATACCTCACAGAGCTAAAGAGAACATTCCTAAAATTTATCTGGAACTAGAAAAGATCTAGAATAGCAAAAACAATCATGAGCAACAAAGGAAAGGCAGAAGTCATTACAATCCCTGATTCGAATACTATAAAGCTACTGGGATAAAGTCATTATGATACTGGCAAAAAAACAAACCTGAACATAAATGGAACAGATTAGATTGCAAACACAACTGCAAACACACTCAACCACCGTATCTTTGACATAAGGACCAATCATATTCACTGGAAGAACGATAGCCTCTTTAATAAATGGTACTGGCAAAACTGGCCTAGCACATGCAAAAGTTTAATTACACTTGTGTGTATCACCATGTATCAAACTGAAGCCAAAATGTATCAAAGATCTAAGTATTAAAACGGAAATACTAAATCTAGTAGAAGAGAAAGTACGTAGAAATCTTGAAGCCGTGTAGTTTTTGAATGATCAGTCCTTATCTTTACTTTTGTGGCCTCACCTTTATTTCAGACATTATAGATCCTAAAAACTGAGAAGTACTAGATATTTGATCTCATCAGGGGCTGTACCAAGCCCATGGTACATTAAATATTAAAAATTATTTTGTTTCATAATTATAACATGTACATATGTACCTCTCCTTGCAAAAATATGATCATTAAATTTGTGAAATAATCCTGGAATTTTTTTAAATAGTAGATTTATTGAAGTAAAATTTGACTACTATACAGTTAAAAACTTAGTGTAAGATTCGGTAGATTTGACCATACTGACAAAGTCATGCAACCACGACCACAATAAAAATTAGATCATTTTGTTTTCCCAAAACAAAACACTCTACGCACTAGATGTCAACTCCCAACAACTTTTCTGTATATGTATGCAAGTACTGAGTAACTCTCTATCTGTAGACACTTTATTATCTTAGAAAGTAATTTATTTTTAATGGAAGATTTACCAGCTCAAACAGTAATACAGATATTTCCAAAGAAATGGAAATCTTGCAAAGTGAACTCTCATAACTTAGTGGAGTGAAACTGGAAACTGGCAAAAGGAATATACTTAGAATGCAGTAACATTTTTTCCTATCCCTTTTTTCCCATTATCTGTATTTTATGTCAAATGTTATTTATATATTAACTTTTTCATATAAGGGAAACTATGCAACTTTCAAGATTATTCACCTGATTTAGTTGATTTAACATTATGATCCCAAAGTGCATCCATTTGCCTATAAACACCTGGAGATTACTTTTCTGTACTGAAGGGTAGCACTTCACTGCCTTTAAATGTGTTCCACATTTCCTTTCTCCATTGATTTGTTGATGGGAACATAGGCTGTTCCCAAGGTTTAACATCTAAGAATTGTGGTGCTATAATCATAGGTGCACATATATCACTGTGTTATGATGTTTGTACCCCTTTTTGGGAAGATTCCTAAAAGATGAATAGCCAGGTAAAATGGAATTTCCATTTTTATTTTTTGAGGATTCTCCATACTGATTTCCATAGTGGTTGTATCAGCTTTTCACTCCCAACAACAATTAAAGGATTCCTTTAACCCCACAGCCTCACCTGTATTTGTTATTGATTGATTTCTGGAAGGGAGACATTCTTTCTCAGATGGGATTAAAGGTTATGCTTGGTTTAATTTGCAATTCTTCAGTGGGCAGTGATATTGAACATTTCCTTGTATATCCATTGGCTATTTGTGTTTCTTCATCTGAGAAGTGTCTATGCATTCCAGGTGCCCATATTTGGATTGGGTATTTAAATTTGAGTGTCAGATCTTTCTGATTTCTTTGTGTATTCTAGATATTATTCCTTTCTATGAGGAGTAGTTCACAAATTTTTTTAACTATTCTTTATGTTGTCTCATCATTAGTGGTCTATTTTGCTGTGTGAATGCTGTTTAATTTAATGAGATCTATTGATTCTTGGTATTCATTAAGATTTGTTGATTCTTGGTATTATTTCCTATGTAAATGGGGATTTATTCAGAGCATCTTTACCTATATGGATGTCTGCAGGAATTTTACCTATTTTGTCTTCTCTCAGACTAAATGTTTCTGTTCAGATGTTAAATCCTTGATCAATTTTGATTTTACAATGAGACATATGGGTCTTAGTTCCACCTTTCACATGTAGATAGACAGTTTGAATGTCACCATTTGTTAAGACACTCCTTTCTTCAGCAAAGAAAGTTGTCCTCTTTGTCAAAAAGCATAATCTACTGTGCATGAAGTTGCTTCTGTATCTTATTACCTATTCTGTTTTTCCATGTGTCTGCTGTTTTTTTTCCTCTACCATTCTTTTTTAGCTTTGTACTATAATTTGAGGTCCAGGATTGTGATGCCTCCTTCCTTACCCTTGTTGCTCAGAATTGCTATTGCTATTCGTGATCTCTTCTGGTTACACATGAACTTTTGGATTGCTCTCAACCATTCTGTTAAAAGTGTTACTGCTGTTTTGATTGAGATTCATTAAACATAGATAACAGTTTGGTAGCATTTAACTATATTGGTTTTATCAAGGAACAAGAGGTATCTTTCTGATATGCCATTTGATCTCATTTTCCAGAGTATTACAGTTTTAACTGTGTACATTTTTCACTTTCTTACTTAGGGAAATTATTAATCATTTCTTTTTTTGTTGCTAATGTGAAGAATATTATTCTCCTATTTCCTCTAGCTATGAGTTTGTTGTTACATTACAGAATGCTGCTGACTTTTAAGTGCTGTCTTCATTTTGTGCTAGAGTACTGTATTTGCTACTTTGTTGTAGGATACTTCTGGTAGAGTTTTTATGGTCTGTCTTGTAGATGATCATGTCATTTGCATATAATGACAATTTAACTTGTTCTTTCTCTACCCATATCATTTTTTCTGTCTCTTGTCTAATTGGTGTAAGTAGTATTTAGAGGACTATGATAAGCAAATGTGGTGATAATGGAAATCCTTTTCTTGATCCTGATTTTTCAAGGGAAAGCTTTCAGCTTCTTTCCATTAAGTATAATTTTGGCCATTGGCTTGTAACAGATAGCTTTTATCAGATTAAGATAAAGACCTTTGATTCTTATTTTCTAGAGTGTTTTTATAAAAAATAGATGCTGAATTTTGTCAAATGCTTTTTCTGCATCCGTTGAAGGGATCATAAGATGTTCTTGCTGTCACCACTTATTTAATGAGTTATTTTTATTAATTTGTTTATGTTAAATCATGCACACATCTGTGGAATAAATTTTACTTGGTCTTGATGAATGAACCTTTTGTTGACTGCTTCATTCTATTTGCAAGTATCTTATTGAGGACTTCTGCATCTATGTTCATTAAGGAGATTGCTCTGTTCTCTTATTGACATGGGTCCCTCTGGTTTTGAAATCAAAATTATGCTTGCTCGAGGTATTCCTTCAGGCGTAATATTCTGTTCTTGAATTCATTAAGGAATTTGAAGAGTATTAGTGTTTGATCTTCTCTAACATTCTTGTAAATTTTGCAGTGAATATAGTGAAACTTGGGCTTTTCTTTATTGGCACTTTGTTTCCTTACTAATTCAGTTCTACTGTCT